TTTTTGGTCTGCCATTTGGGGTCATTCTTATCAAACATCATGTTAGAGCAGGTCCTTGAATTAAAATTTATCATTCCTTTATCTTTTCCGACTTTTTCCCTTTCAGGTCACGGGGGGTCACTGGCACCCATATCCAGCAGTTAATGTGTGAGAGGTGGCGGACACCCTGGACAGGTCTCCAATCCGTCGCAGGGACACATAGAGACAAACGAGACAAACAACCATTCACTCTCTCACTCACCTAGAGACAATTAAGAGTTACCAATCAGCCTAACATGCATGTTTTTAGTCTGTGGGAGGAAACTGGAGTACCTGGAGAAAACTCATGCAAACTCCACCCAGAAAGGTCCCCAACCAGGATTTGAACCAGCAACCTTCTTGCTGAGAGGCAGCAGCTTTACCAACTGATCCACTGTGCTGCCCTTGAATTGAAATTTACAAGCAAAGTTTGTGCATGTCAGCAGACTACTTGTTTACCTACAGAAACCACCTCAGCAACATGCCAGGTCAATAATGGTGACGTCCATGAAAGGGTTGTTTAGGAAGGAGACATCTGACAATGTTGATGTACGACATTTGCATTCAGATTTATTTGCTAAGTGCTTTGTTTACATTAAATGCACACACACATTTTATATGTGCTCATCTATGTATCTTGGATGACTACTAGAGTAAAACTCTTTCAAACTGCACCGTTTGCAGGTTTGATTTCATGGTTTACACTGAGTACATCTATAACAGGAATGTGTTGTGTTTGAGAACACAAGATTTGATTTAAATGTTTTAGAGAATCAGGTATAGATCAGATCATTTTATGGAGTCTCAGCAGGTAAAACCCTGTAAGAGGTTGTAACCCCCCCATGTCAGATTCATTCAACCTTTGTTTATACAGGCTAGCCTCACTGAGCCCGGAGGACTCAGGGACCTGATGCTGCAGTGTTGAAAGCTGTGGTGCTGTCCGTGGTGCTGAAAGAGTGAAAACCTGGAGCTGAAGCTGCAGATGTTTTCAACCTCAGGGAGCGCATATACCTTTTCATTGATTATAGTTATTTGGGAAAATGTCAGTGGAGTGGTGAAAACCGATGATGTTGACCTTTGAAAGCTGTTCAACACTATTACAGAACAACACAGCTCAGGAAACCATATCGATCATAATTTGGGGCAGATCTGGAACCCATATAGGATTTTATTTTTTTATTTTTTTTTGAAACACAGAAATGATGGAGGTTAACTTAAAAGGACTAGATGCGTCTTTAGAAGTCCAGTCACATGAAACATGCCATCATATTTTTAAAAAAGGCGTTAAATCTCTAACAGTTGATCCATGTTGGGAAACAGGTTTGGAAGATCCCGCCTCATCAGCTCATCAGTAAATAGTTCCCCACACAGTGAAGCAGCAGAGGAATTTCTAGGTGCAAGATACAGGACCACTCCTCTCTCTCCCTCTCTCTCTCTTTCGGTTTCTCTGCATGCGATTTTCTCTCATCTCGCAGCTTGGCGGTGAGAAAAGGGGGAGGGTGGTCTTGCAGTCGACGAGAAGAACAGGAGTTTATTGAGGAGTAGCTGCAACGAGAAGAGAGAGAGCAGAGAGGAGGAAAAACGCTTTGTACATGAGCCCCTGCAGAGAGGAGAGGAAGAAAGAAAGAAAGAAAGGAAAATTGGACAGTTGACCCTCTCTTTGCTGAGAGTGAATTGTTTAACTTGTTGATGCATCGTGATTGTTTTTTCTTCTTCTCCTGTCTGGCTGCAGTGAGTGATAAATGGCTGGAAGTATTCTCCTCCGAGGATTAGACTGAACTCCTGCTGGATAATGAGCGGGATTCTTTAAGGTGGGTCTTTTTTCTGTTTTATTGCCGCTTAATGTAGATTTAAAAAAAAATCTAATTTATATTCTGCCGCACAGACTTCCAGTTACTGTGGGGAAAGGCCATGCGCAGTCTAAGTAAAACGGGTTTACGCATCTGACTTTGGGCACATTCTGTGAAACTGAGGCGCTTCAGCCATCATCACTTGGGTCCTCTTTTTCTTCTTCTTCTTCTTTTGCTCTTCCTCCTGCCTGCAGATGCAACTGATCCCCGAGCCGTAGCACTGTGAAAAGCGCGGAGAAGAAACCCAACACTACAGGTCAGCATGGCAGCAGGTGTAGCGGCGTGGCTTCCCTTCGCCCGCGCGGCAGCCATAGGATGGATGCCCGTGGCGAGCACCCCGATGCCAATCCCTCCCCAGGACAAGAGGAAAACCCAGGACGGACTTATCATCCTCAACGTGAGCGGCACCAAGTTCCAGACGTGGCGGACCACGCTGGAGAGGTACCCGGACACCCTGCTCGGCAGCACGGAGCGCGACTTCTTCTTCCACGAGGAGACCAACGAGTACTTCTTCGACCGTGACCCCGACATCTTCAGGCACATCCTGAATTTCTACCGCACGGGGAAGCTGCACTACCCGCGCCAGGAGTGCATCTCCGCGTACGACGAGGAGCTCGCCTTCTTCGGCATCATCCCGGAGATCATCGGGGACTGCTGCTACGAGGAGTACAAGGACCGGAGGCGCGAGAACGCAGAGCGGCTCCAGGATGACGAGGAGATGGACATGAGCAACGAGGTGACGCCGGTGAACCTGACGTTCCGGGAGTACCTGTGGCGGGCGTTTGAAAACCCGCACACCAGCACGCTGGCTCTGGTCTTCTACTATGTGACGGGATTCTTCATCGCCATCTCGGTCATGGCCAACGTGGTGGAGACGGTGCCGTGCGGGACTCTGCCCAACAGGTCCAAGGAGGTCTCGTGCGGGGACCGTTACGCGCTGGCCTTCTTCTGCCTGGACACGGCGTGCGTCATGATATTCACGGTCGAGTACCTGCTGCGTCTGATCGCCGCGCCCAGCCGCTGCAAGTTCATGAAGAGCGTGATGAGCGTCATCGACGTGGTGGCCATCATGCCTTACTACATCGGCCTGGTGATGACTGACAATGACCAGGTGAGCGGCGCTTTCGTCACGCTCAGAGTCTTCCGGGTCTTTCGGATTTTCAAGTTCTCCCGGCACTCCGCGGGGCTGCGCATCCTGGGCTACACCCTGAAGAGCTGCGCCTCCGAGCTGGGCTTCCTGCTCTTCTCCCTCACCATGGCCATCATCATCTTCGCCACCGTCATGTTTTATGCAGAGAAAGGCTCCTCTGCCACCAAGTTCACCAGCATCCCCGCAGCGTTTTGGTACACCATCGTCACCATGACAACCCTGGGGTAGGTGGCTGCATGAAAGCTCCTGAAACACCTTGAAGCTGTTGAATGTGTCACTTATCCTCGTATCTGCTGCTGATAGCATCCATACAGATCCTGCTTTGATAAAAGTTCAGTCTTCGTGATTAATTGTTTATCTCTTGACCAGGAAGTTTTCAGACAGGGGGTCAGATGGGGGCTGCTGTTAATATTGGGGTGGCACATCACAACAAACATTTAATAAGCTGCTGTCATCAATAAGCTTTTTCTAAAATACTGCAATACAGGAGTTGGGATCATGATGTGTGGCCTACTTTGTTTTTTTACAGCCGGACGATTGAACTAATTTACTGGGGGGGGGGGGGCGCTACAGTTGAAAGCCAGCAGCTCGAGGCTGGACATCCAGCAGTTACTGTTATTACATAAATCTAATTTATGATTTAAAAACTAGTTTTAATTTAAATGAACCCATTGGTGGGCTGAATGAGCTCACCTGCAGGCTGGATGTGGGCCCATGGGCCACCAGTTGGTTAGCCCTGCGTTACTAACGTAGAACAGCGAAGTCACAACTCAGCTCTCTGACTCTTGCCCTCTCCTCCCCTGAACTCATATTTATAACTGAGCAAGCTTTTTATTAAAGAACACATCACTTTGTACACACGTCATCCCTGTATGCCAAATATTTTAAACAAATGTCTTTTGTAACCTGTTGGACCAACATGTGGATGATTCTCAGCGGTCACCACACCAGATCTTTGTTTTGTTTGTTTGTGTATATGCGGGGGTCATCTTCAGTCAGGTTGACTTAAAAAGTCAATCAGATTTAGATGTACACTTAATAACGACTTCCTGAGAGTTTCATTCAAATCTATCCTGTAGTTCATGACATATTTTGCTAACAGACAAACAAGGTTGGCTCCAAAAGTTAATGCCATGTTCTTAAGCAAAGATTGTTGCCCTTAAAGTATGATGTTCAACTACAGCACAACATTTTAGCTCACTACCTGTCAAACCATTGACTAATCTTATCATTGACTGCTAAAGTTGATTATCTGTGGCGGCCATATTGAATCAGGCTGACTTCCCAAGTGAATCAGTTGTAGAGATCAACTTACTGATTACCTTCTGAGAGTTTTGTTGAAAATCTTCTTGTGGTTTGCAAGATATTTTGCTAACAGACAGAGGTTGCATCTAAGGCTGTCTAGCCAGTGGAGTGCAACGAGTCTACAGCCGGGCCCATGTCCCTTAGTTGCACCTGTGACCGGCCCGTGGCCACAGGTGTGCATTATAGGGCACATATTAACGACCTCGAGCTCCTCTCAGCCAATCAGAGGCAGCAGGTGCGACCTCATCATTGATCCTCAGCCATCATTGTGCTGAAGGTCAAGCCTCGTCCCTCAGCATTGTCAAGGGTCTTTTGTGGATCATTTGTAAAGTTTAATACGCACATGCAAAACATTTCAGGGACTCTCAGTGAAAAAAATAAAAAATAAATCCAAAAAAACACCTGAAGCTGTTTTGTTACTGAACAAAGAACGACTCAGAACTCACCAAAAATGTCGCATTTGCAGTTCAAAGTGACGCAAGTGCAGCCAACAAACTGAACCTAAACTCCTTGTTTCCTCTCTCTGCATCGCCTCCTCCTGTCTGCCTCTCATTCTTCACCTCCTTTTGTGTTCAGGGAGCCACGGTACATTTTTAACTGCTCATTTCATGCCCAGCGTCAGCTTCTCTGTGTGCTGCTTATGTAGCATAAAACAATTAAACACCGTTAAGACGATTAGATCACGTCAATTGATGAGCGCACACCGCCGCGCTGCAGTTCAAATGTAGGTTTATTATTATTATTATCATTATCATTATTATTAATATTAATATTAGTCTGTAATCAGTATTATTCACTCCAGAGCAGCCCTACAGAGCGATGTGTTTTCTGAGCTCATGTAACTTCAGTCATATTTGCCTTCTGAAATCAAATCCTGTTAGATTTCTGCGGAGGAACCTATAGGCTGCTGCTTTTATTATCACGCACTGCTGCAACTGTAAATCCGCAGCCCCTCAGACTGTCTTAGTCTTAACCCCCCTCTGCCTCCTCAGCTACGATGATGATGATGATGATGACATAGAAATGAGGTCTCCTTGAGAAAATGTTTGTATTTCAAAGGCTTTAACGTCCCAAATCAAACATGCAAATCAAACTGCCAGTGGATGTGAGCCTGTGTCTTTCCCCCATGTTCGTCTGCAGGTGTGTAGACGTGCACAAAGATGTGTTCTTGGAAGTGCAAAATACTACGATTGTAATTCTTTTTTTTTTTGGAGGATGTATTTTTGCTCTAACTGATCTTCACAACACAAGCAGCATCCTTTCATTTTCCCCTCAGTCTTCACAGCTGCATTGACGCAGCTCTGCTCCCTCAGCTCTGCAGGCGGCATGTGGAGTTTTTATTACAATATTAATCTCTGACGTTATTAAAGGTGTGCCAACTTCTCTCTATGTGTTCTCAGTGTGCCACTGACGTGGAGGACGCTCTGTCCCCCTAAGGACACATACAAATCTTTAATGCCAGTTGAGCCACAGCTCACCCTCAAAATGACCACATCATTAACAACATGCACAACTCAAACGACCATCTCAAGCGTGAGGACATGCTTTCCGTTTGGACTGAACGATGTACAACCGATGAGGCTACATTATTTATCTTTGGGGAGCAGCAAAGATATTTGCTGGTTCCAGGCTCTGAGTTCTCCACCCCCTTTTGTGTTGCTCAAGATGGATTTGAAAAAGATGTTTTGTGTGCAAGAACACAACTAAAATGTCCTTGGTAATGGGGACGTCTCTGTCTCTCCATTGTGAGCCGTGACAGCCGGCTGACAGATCTGCAACGTGAACTCAAGCCTTCCAGTGGTGCAGAATGCTGCATAGTGGACCACCGGTGGATCGGCTGAATACCGATCACTGACGAACAGAATCGCCCCTCTCTCCTCATCCATCATTGTCCCAAGGTTTGGCTTTGAGAAAATCATTTTTCATCCAACCTGTAAAGCTGAATCTTACTCATCGTGTAAACGTCGGAGTGAGGAAAGCATTTGTTGCTTTGTTCTATTGTAACCTTAGGAAGCTCCTCTGATCAAAGGTAGTCAGATACTCAGACGGTTTGTTTCAGAGGAAAACATTGATCTACGTCTGACAAATACTTCTTCATCCACATAGGAATAAGTTGTTTTTTTCATTTAGAGGCAAATAAGCTCCCCAAAGACGAGCTAATGGCTGAAACCGGCGCTTTAAGGCAAAGCATTTGATTTTACTCTGATGGTCAATGATGCTTTATGCCTGCATGGTATCACAATATCTTTCCACTAAAGCATATTTTCAATTTCCTGTGTGGAAGTAAAGACAGTGGTGGGCATTCTCCCCCGCTGATGGCCCATTGATTGTGCTTAAGCAGTCGTGCAGACATTGGGAGAGCAGGGGCTCCTGTTCTGAGGCACTTGGCAGGCAGCCTGAATGAAGGGGAAGGGTGCCTCGAGACCAGTGGAGAATCAATAGCTCTGTGCAGCTGCGTGTCATGCCTCTCTGTGTCTTCTGCTCTGTGCCACCAAACACAGGACAAGACCCACTTATCCCTCCCTATTTATCGAGCCTAATCTCTGTGGCTGCTTTTGGGTACCCAACAAAAAGGAACGTGCCTCAGTCGGAACGGATCTGCGCAGATTTTCAAGAAGTGGTTGACTGGCTGCTGAATGAGAGATTATGATCTGTGGTGTTTTGCTTTACAGCTTCTTAAAAAAAACCTGTGCTAAAGTATCGTTTTGCGACATGATTTAACGCAGGCTTACTTAAGGCAGCAACAGATTCTAATTTAAAGATAACGTCACTCTTTATTAGGCTACAGAATCAGATATTTGCAGTGTTTTCACACTCTTATTTTCTGCCAGATGATCCACGCGGTCAGGGTGAATTAGCTGCAGAGGGAGTTTTTTGGTGCTTCAGATCTTTTAAGTGATTTAAGGTGTAATGGAGTGCACTGCCGAGAGCAGCTGTGAAAACGGTGGAAGTCAAGCGCAACCCACAAGGGAAGAGGACTGGGAGGACGGGGTTTATTCTGGAACAGTGACACAGTTGTCCCTCTGCAGCCACACAAACATGGCTGTTGATAGACATGATGGGCCTCAGCTTCTGACAAGAACATGTACACACACACACGCACGCACGCACGCACACACACACACACTCCTTATTTTTACTCATTCACACATCTGCTTCCACTGTAAAACTGTTCACTGTAAATTTTAGCCACTGACATCAGCTAAACCATGAAAGCAGAATTATTTGTAGAGTTTCTGGCTTAGCTTTTAAAATCAATGTACTTTTATTAAATATGTTTAATCGTGGTTGGGTTTTTCTAAATTTAGAACAAATGTTTGTGGCATTTTTAGAATTTCTGCATGTAATCCAATTGTGAACCTACAGTCCTGTTATCTAATTACTTGGTTTTTAAAGCAGGCTGTCACACTGCTACTATAATTACTGTAACTGCATCATTATTACTATGACTGCTACCAATAATTGTAAAAACTGTGTACTGGAGCCTCAGCCTGCTCAAACTGTCTTTGGGTGAAAGGCAACTCAGGGAATCTACGATCACATATCACATCTAAATCAAAGAGAAACCAGACTTAGTCACATCATCCATCCATCCATCCATCCATCCATCCATCCATCCATCCATCCATCCATCCATCCATCCATCCATCCATCCATCCATCCA